GAATGCTTGGAGTGGTTATTTCTCCTCTGTGACTCCCCCTCATTCCCTCCCTGCCCATTAAATTCAACAATGTCGAGGACATGTCACCAGTCTCCTTGGGCTGTTAATAAGAAACCACACAGGCTGCATTTGTCTGTGCAAATAGAGATAAGCGTGGGCTGGAGACAGTAAGCTGGCCAGTCAGTATGATGTGGACCCTGGTGTCTGGAGGGATGGTTTAGTGCTCCCGTGTTTAGGAATCAAATTTAGTCTCTGGCACCTTTGCATATTTATGAACATTGTCTTTACCTGATGATGGAAACAGGGGGAGACATTCTTAGCCAGAGCACAGTTGACATATTGCCTCTGTGTCATGGTTCAGATGGGATGGACATCATCCGACCGATGTCCCGCAGTGGGAGTCCATGACTAAGGCAGTGACGGCAGTGGTTGCATCAGATCGGTGTTAATGCGATTCTCATGGAGGGTCCTGGGACTGACTGTCTCTTCTGTTCTCTGACAGAGCATGTGCACACGGAGTCAGGAGCACCTCTCAAAAGTCAGCTGTCTTGCCTCTCTGCACAGCCCCACCCTCTTGGCCATGCGGCCAAGCTTCTGCTCTAAACAGATGACATTACCGTGCCCAGAGAGCAAGGAGTGCTCGGTCCTCCCTCCCATAGTCGGTGTCTCAAACAACCATCGCCATCCCAGTTGGAGACCCTACTGCCATGGGCCCTGTGGGGAGACACCTGGCGAACAGATCACCACCAGTTTAAGCCTTTAAGAACCACACCTCGAGTGTGTGTGTTGTGCACATATGTGCTTTTCCTCTGCCCCCGAAGGAGGAGGAAGGGGCAACAGGACCTTCCTGGCAGTTGATCGAGCACTTTGTTGTCATTTCTTGCAAGTCTGGTAGCCTCGTGCATTGAGTTGGACGTGCACAGGTTCTGGTGCATTCGACTGTGCAGAGAGGCTCTGTGTCTGCGCCCTCCGTCATCTCCGCCACATGCATCGCCTGAGGGGGACCTCTGCTTGGAGATTGGCAGTCCAGCTTCAAGTGGGAGGCAGTCACACCCACCAACCGCCATTTAAGCACAGACGTGACTCGCCCTCACCGTGGGACAGATGGGTCAGGGCTCTGCGCTTTCTCCAGAGCCCTCTGATATTTCTGCTTTTGGCACAGACACACAAATAACCATGTATCCATTCCCTGTTAGAGTCGCAGACCATGCCGTTGCTTTTGTTCAGAACCCTCCACATACTGAAGCTGATTTTTAGGCTTGTGCCTGATTCAAAGTTCATTTCTCTGAGGGAGATGTTACCCCTGTATGTTTTGCGGTATCTTTGAGTGTTTTCTTGTCTCCTCTTTTCCTGTCTCCTAACTGCCTCTGTGGAGGGGGGGCGGGGAGGGGAAGAGTATTCACATGGGAGGAATAGGTAGGTAATAGTGTTCATTTAACCTTTCCTAGTACAAGTTTTGAGATATTTATCTTCACACTCCCAAGGATAAAGCTTTTCAGTTTACTATTGTTGGGAAATGTTTATTTCGTTGGTCTTAGGGGAAGGGTGGTAGTTTGGGGTATGCAGGACAGATATCTGGCTGTGATGGTCAGACCTCCTTTCAACATCCTCATCTAGAGGTGGCCTCTAGGGGCGGTGTTCATCTTCCAAAATCTATTTCAGGCCAACAAGTGTCTAACAGCGAGATGGCCTGTGAGTTTTAAAAAGCAATATCGCCATCCCAGACTGCTGCTGCCCACATAACTGACCAAACCTTGCACTGAGGTTTCTGTTAGATCTCTGCTTTGTCTTAGCGTGCTGTCCAGTGTTCTCTTTGGGATGGGTAAACCATCAGAAGGCTGCTGTACTGTAAAGTTCCTGTTACTTTTCTGTACTGGTATTTATATTTCTAGATATAACCTATTTGACATAGCCTTAATGGTCCGTGAAGAAGACATTTCAGTTTGAGATTCAAACTTCAGATGTTAAAACAGATGCCTTTTTAGAAAAGTGTCACCCAGAAGCTAAACTAAAAGCAGGTACCTTGTCCACTGCCAGATTTCATGCTGTGGAATCTGGGGACATTAGTAAGTGAACACAGAGTCTACTTCAGAGATGCTTGATGTTAGATACTTTTGGAAGTTCAAATTTCACAATTTGATTGTATAATGTTTCACCTGAAATATTTAGTTGAAGTAGGGGGTGAATTAACACCAAGAACAATAAACACAAAATAGTTGGGATAAATTAAGGTGAAATATAAACACCATACCAAAGACTAAGATAATGAATGTTTGGGTCAGAGTAAGACCGAGAATGAGGAGGGTGCCATTTCCGTCCTGAGCGTCCTCCTTGCCATGCCCTGCAGTCCCCACCCTGTCCTCCTATCACTCATGTCCCCATGTTCTGTATGTGGTGGCAGCCGTTGGCCCTTCTAGTCCATGACAGACCCTGCAAATAATGGTGTGTACCTTTTTACAGCCATTTTTAAGAGCCTAATATGGGTATAAATGTAATTCCTGTAGGGGGGACAGATTATCTGTATGTTTAGTTAACAAATTCTTTGTAACGTATTTTTTTAGAAATCTTAAAATTGCCTTTGCACTGAAGTATTTTCATAGCTATTTATATCTCTTTTATTCATTTATTTGTTAACATATCATATCTAATTTTTAAAGTATGTTTTTAAAGCTTTTATTTTTTAAGTTTATGAAGTTGGCCACTTCAAATTCTGCTGAAAGTTTTGGCTGAATGTTTTAGTGTCTAATGAATTTTCAGGGTTGATTTTATTCTCTATACCTTTTTTTTTGATGTTTCTGGTGGCAATGATTAGTTGAAAGGCATATTTAGAGTATGATAATTTGCTATGCTTATTCTTCACAGCAATTTAATCTGCTTTTTGTTTCGTTTTTAATTTCCATCCTTCAGCCTTAAAACAGAAGCTTTTTGCTTGATGGCTCAGTATCTTTTTTCCACCTGTATCAACAGTTACCATTTACCTCTGATAATTTAAGTCTCAT